TTTTAAATAACACAAGTCTCTTTAAGCTGAGGCTCATCATTTTACAAATAAATCTGTATTTGATCTTAGCCCAAAGGCTGAGAAGTGATTACGAAAGAATCTGGTATTAGATTTATGAAAAAGAAAATCTAACGCTAAGGGATTTTACTTTCTAAAAATCCCGGAAGGCCAGGGGCCCGGCCGGGGTCCTGCAGGGTGGCTGGAGTGGCCCTGGACCGCAGCAGACCCCATCTGGCCAGTCCCTCCCCAGCAACTTCTGAGGATCGTTGCCACGGTCACTGCCCACCCTGTAAGGTGAGAACAAGTGTCTGTTCCCTGTTGATTTTTTGTAACAAGGTGGCAAATCGTTCAGACTGAACTAATGAATCAGCCAGAGAACCTGAGTATCTGTGTTTCCTGGAAATAAATCTGGCTAGTGATGGATGCAGCCTTTTGGGCCAGGATACCCCACAGCGTTGGCCTGAACATCCTTGTGTGACCTACACAAGATCTTATCTGTGACTGACTTAGCCGGACCCACAAAGGGGCGTCTGGTCAACTGGCCGTGACCAACGAAGGGGTGTCTAGACTGCCGGCTGTGACTGACGAAGGGGCTGCTGTCCATCCCGGGCTGACTGAGGCCATGAGTACTGGACACTCCTCCAGGCCTGAGACGTGAGTAGGTCAGCAGAGGGTTCTGGGGATGTTCTCCGCTGCCTCATTACAGCAACTGCCTCGGGCCTCTCAGTACCTGTGGGGCACGCAGGGTATCAGGTTCATGAGCTGCTGTCACAAATTTGTGCTACAAATAAATAGATTATAAAGCACACTGATGAAGCAATGGGCAAAAGTTCTAACAGGATATAAAATTCACTATAGCATATTATGCTGCAACAGAATGCTGTTATGTAGGATAATAGCATTATTGAAGGTTAAATTCTGATTCTGAATAATCAAACAGTGGTTACAGAAGAACTTGCTGTTTTCTGAGGAAATTCACCTGAAATATTTACGGTGAAGGGATATAGGGTTGGCAAGTTATTCTCAAATGTTTCAGAAACGGTTGTGTGTGCGTGTGTGTGCATATGTGTGAGTGTGCCTGTGTGCATGCACGCATGTGTGCCGTGGGAAGAGAGTATAATCAGGCTGTGGGACCAATATTAACAGCTGCTGGCTCCAGGCAAAGGGGCATGCGCGTTGCTGGACCTAATTTTGTTTAAAACAAACTTAAAAATGAATCGTTAAGATAGCAGAGGGAGAAAGCAAAGCCGCGACGTGACAGGTGGCATTCAAGGACTCCGACAGCGCAGACGCGTCCTGGGCGAGGCGATGCTTTGCGGAACCCCGGGATGCACCAGTGCCTGCTCTCGGGGCCCCTGGGACTCCGTGCTCCCCAGTTTCCTGGTGTATGGACAAGACAGGGCTGCCCCCGGATGTCCCGGCTGGTAATGGTCCCCACCGGCACCACCAGGGCCCCAGGTCGTCCAGCCTGTCCTGCCCGAGGCAGAGACAGAGTAGGGAATCCTGGACAATTGCCCTCCTTGGGCAGGGAGGGTGGAGAAGGCAGAGAGATGCTGCCCACGGGGCCACAGGCTGGTTCAGACCCTGGGGGCTGCCAATGTGGCCATCAGACAGAATGTCCACCATCTGTGTGGTGCTGGACACAGAGTGCCCAGATCACACGCCGTCCCTGCCTTTGTCTAAGCCCTTGTTTGCTGACCACGGCTCAGGGCGCGGCACACGAATCATGAGAAGACTCAGACTGTTCTTTAAGACCCTGTGTTAATACTTTTCCCGCAACAGACTGAGTGAACTGATAACTTATTTCTGCGCGTTAACTGGAAATGCGTCTACACCCCAGGATTTTAAGCAGGCAAGCTGCAGTGCCTGCACTCAGACTGGAAAGTCATTTCCAGCCTAACGCAACCCTTGGAATGAATTTTAATGATGGAGCTTTTAAAGCCCAGATGTTTGGACTGAACATCAGTTTGGGTATCTCCCTCCCTCCCTCCCTGCTTCCTTCCTTCCTTCCCTTCCTTCCTTCCCTACTTCCTTCTCTCCTTCCTTCCTTCTCCCCACTCCCTCTCTCCCTCCCTCCCTTTCTTTATACTTTCTTTTTTTTTTTCAGGGTCTCACTGTGTCACCCAGTCTGGAGCACAGTGATGTGATCTCAGCTCGCTGCAACCTCAAGCTCTCAGGCTCTGACAATCCTCCTACCTCAGCCTCCCAAAGAGCTGGAACTACAGGTGCCAACACCACCCAGCTAACTTTTGTTTTTGTAGAGACAGGGTTTTGCCATGTTGCCCAGGCTGGTCTCAAACTCCTGAGCTCAAGCAATCCTCCTGCCTCGGCCTCCCAAAGTACTGGGATGACAGGCATGAGCCGCTGCAGCTGGCCACACCTTATTTCATAAGAATGTCTTGGAGAAAGAAAAATAAAAATTCCATCATTTAAACTATGGACACCGTACATTATAAGATGCACCACAGTTTTAGAAAGATTGAATACAAAAATGCATCCTAGAATAAACTACGGCATCACTGTGCTGTAGGGAGAGATCAACTCCTTTTCAGAAGACATGAGAAGCAACACTGGAAGTTGCCATAAAGAGCAGGTGTTTAGAAACACCACTCACACAATGGAAACCACTGAGAGCCACATCCACGGGGTATTTGAATTATGGCACAGGAGTACAGTGGAATACTAGGCAGCAGTTAAAAAGGTGGGAATCGGTCTATGTATGGTGATACAGAAAAATATTTTAAAACTTAGTTTAATGAAAACAGCCAAAAGCAAGCTATGACACATACTAACTTCCTTTGGGCAAAGAAATCGCACATGCAGGTGTGTCTTATGCACAGGTGCACAGCCCAGGTGTGTGCGTGCAGGGAACTCCCAGAGGGAGGCTCAGGTGACCGTGGCCTTGTTATCTGTGGGTGGTTGGAAGCAGCTTTCCCCGCACACCACTGTTAACAGCATTTGGATTCCTGAAGCTGTGCACATGTCACTTTTATAACAAAAGGAACCCCCTCAGTGCCGTTCTAAGCGGCAGAGTGGGCCCAGTGTTCCCTCAGTGCTTTCTACGGTTTTGTTTTTCTTTTGGACTTTTGGGCCTCTCTGTCACACGAATGTGGAGCAAGGTGGTGCCAGCTTTTGTTTACGATGCTTGTGGATTTTGTGTTCCTGGGTTTCAATCTATAATCAGTTTGTAAATAGACTCACTTTCTGATTCTCACGGAGGAGTTTGATTTGCGGGTGGAGACCGGGTCCACCGTCATTTGGATCCAGCAGCGCCGTGCTCCTGCAAGCTGGCCTTCTCTTCCGCACACCAGGGGCCGAGAGGGAAGGCCAGTTTCAGGTGAGCTGGCGACACGGGTGCTACTGTGTTACTTATGCTAGCAAAGGTCCCGACTTACCTGAATTGGGTTTCTTTTCCTGAAAGGTAATTCTCAGTTAATTTCCCCACACCCACGGGTCCTGGGACCATGCCACGTGGACATGTGTGACGTGAGGCCCTTCACCCTCATGTGCCTGTCTCTCTGCCTCTCCTGACTTAAAGCACCAGAAGCAGCGCAGTTAGTCCAGTTACTGGGAAGCACAGCACAGAGCCACATTGCCGCAGTCTGTGCAGCACAGGTCACAGATTCCTCAGTCAGCGTGGACATGCCCACACAGTGAACGGGCATCTCTAGGGAAAAAACAAAGCCTCCCCCAGACACGCCTGCTCCCCCTACTGAATGAATGCAGGGGTGGTTTCCACCCAAGGGAGGTGGGCGGGGAGTGAGGCCCCTGGGAGCTGCGGCAGGGCCTGTCCGGGAAGCCTCGAGCCAGTGTACCTGGGCGTGGGGTCCACGGCCCCACCTGCGAGGTCCAGCAGCCTCTCTCGCCTGTCCACTCACACAGGAATCTCAAGTGGGAGTATAAAGACGCCACCATTTTCCTCTTTCAAATCATCCATTCAAAGAAGACGGAGCCCTTAAGGGTAGGGGTTTGCATTTCCGTTGCCGGCACAGATTCCAACCCGGCTTTCTGCCCCAGCCCCCTCCTCTCCCTGAGGCCGGGCCTTCCCCTGGGACCCCAACTCTGCCCAGAGGCGAGCCCTTTAATGAAATCACAACAAAAAGAGAGGCTCCAGCCAAGCTGCCCAAGCACAGTGGTAAACATCGGTCAACTGCTATTTTATTCACACCAGATGCTGTGTGGAAAAATGATGTCCAATTTATTTTAAACAAGAGCAAGTGATCTCTTTTCCAAGAATCTGAGAGACAACCTCATCCCAGGAACAGCGCTTCTTGGTCAGTGAGCCTGGCAGGGCAGGCACGGAGGGGAAAGGCCTTCTCTGCCTTTGGGCCCGGCCCACTGAGGCAGAACAGAGAGAGATGCCGGAGCCGGCAGGAGGCCTTATGTCCGGTTTTCTCTATGAGCTGTTTCAAAAGAGGTTGCTCTTAAAATCTAGTGTGATTAAAAAGTTGTGTGGGGTTAAGAGCAATGCTTCCGTACGTGTCCTGCAGGCCCCAGTGTGGACTGTTTCTCTGTCCAGGCCCACACACGACCCACTGCAGACACGGTACAGGGAGGGTGGCGGTGGCGGGGGGCGGCCCGTTGGCCCTCAGGAGGAACGCACACCTGGTGGCAGAGGCCGGACAGAGGGTCTGCAGGGGGTGTTGGTGGGGAGGCCTGCGGACCCCCGCAGTTAGTGCTGTTGAAGTGAGTGAGCAAATAGCATTAGCTCTGCGAGAGTAAAATGCACCGCCTGTCCCAGGACTGCGGGTGAGCAAGTGCGGCAGACCCACGCCGCGTCGACGACGGAGGAGGGAACATATTCCCCACGGACACGCAGTGTATTTTACGCAGCAGTTAGGATTCTGAAATTGGCAATCAAGAGTTAAATGTGGCCAGTCAGGCACAGACTCTGCAGTGGAGCCGCACAGGGTCGCTTCAGCCAGGGGCTGTGAGTGGACACTAGGGGCCCTGGGGGTGGAATCAGATCTCTAGGGGGAAAGTGGCAGAAATGGCTTTACTTCTCCTCTGTGGACAGGCGGTAGAGAGCCGCGCCCAGGTCCTGCAGCTTCTGCTTGTCCTCCAGGTCCTGGTACAAGCCTTTGGGAACCAGGTCCAGGCCATACAGCAGCCCGAACAGGCAGCCTGCAATGGTGCCGGTGGCCGCGCTCTCCCCTGAAACGCAAACGCAGGCAGTCGCAGTGGGCTCCACCTGGCCAGGGCCTCCGCGAGACCCCTGGGGCTGGTTGCTCCTGAGGTGGGCAACACTTCCTCCTGCCAAGCCCCCATTCTGCTGGGGGCGGCTGATGTGGTGGCTCACCCCTGACATCCCAGCTACACAGGAGTCTGAGGCGGGAGAATCTCTTGAACCTGGGAGGTGGAGGTGGCAGTGAGCCAAGGTGGCCTCTCTGCACTCCAGCCTCAAAAACAAAATGAAAACCAAGCGGGAGGGGACAGGCGCTCCCCTTCTCCCTCCCTGGGGTAGGCACCTGTGTAAAGAGGTGTCTCGGCACGAAGAGTCACTGAGGTGCCAGGACTGTGCAGAGGGAGGTGGAGGGAGGGGAGCCCAAGGCCACACGGCCCCACCATGGACCCAGCGTCATGGAGGAAACCCCTCCAGGGGCTGAGCAGGCTCTGTGCAGAGCCTTCCTGACCAAAAGGGCCACATTTGTGTTTTCCCAGCTCAGGTCTGTGGTCAAGCTCAGCTCCAAGCCTCACTGAGTGAGGCAATTTCAGCCAGTCTCACAGAACCACAAGGCAGGGGCTGACCTCACGGGTAGGAGCTGTCTGGAGCTGCCGCAGCCACTCTGATGGGCTTCTTCCTCTGCCTCCACGGCCAGAGACGGCCAGGGCACCACAGAGCTAGCATGGATGGAGCAGGATGTGAGCCCAGGACCCAACTCCAGTCTGCAGTCTGTGACTTTGCACAGAGGCTGCAGAGCAAAGATGACGGTGACCTGGGCAGAGAACCCCGTGAAGGTGGCCAGCCTGAGGTAGCGGCAGCAAGGGCAGGAGTCTCCACACCTCCACTCCACCTCCTCCAAGGCCGCACTGCCCTCCAGGCTCGTGGACCAGGCAAGAGACTCTGGGTGTGTGGAGCTCCGGGCAGGAACCTGCAGCCGCACCTGTATCCTGTGACGTCCACCCATGAGCATCCTTAGGTCAGCGGGTGTACCTGGAGCCAGTGCCATCCCAAAGTGGGTTCCAGAAAGGAAGAGAAGAATGCATATCCTGGGGGTCAGGAGGTGGCCCCTGAACACCTGTGGCCCTAGGACACCCCGAGGGGATGCTTCAGGAGAAGGCTGCTACCCTCCTGGAAGCCACAGCCATTAAGGAGGGAACATCTCACCTCCATGAAACATGGCCCGGTGACACAGCTCAGTCCAGCTGTTGCCTGCTGCCAGGAGGGCGTCATAGGCTATCATGGGGGCATCATGGCCTCGTCTGCCCCCTCGGCCTTCCGAGCTCCACTTCCTGTAGGTCTGACAAGAGAGCCGTGGGTCAGCAGATGTGCCCAAGTGGAGCCGCATCTGGGTACATTACAGCACAAGCTTTCTGGGCCCATCCTAGTGAACTGCCATTCCATCTATCCTCCCATCCACCCACCCATCCATGCACCCAACCACTCATCCATCCACCCATCACCCATTTACCTACCCATCCATTCACCCACCCTTCTACCTACCTGCCCTTCCATCCACCTACCCAACTATCCATCCATATACCCACCTAACCACCCACCCACCCATCCATTCACTCATCCACTCACCCATCCACACATCTACCCACCCATCTACACATCCACCACCCATCCATTCACTCATCCGCTCACCCACCCACTCATCCATCCACCCATCACCCATTTACCTACCTATCCATGCACCTAACCACTCATCCATCCACCCATCACCCATTTACCTACCCATCCATTCACCCACCCTTCTACCTACCTGCCCTTCCATCACCTACCCAGTTACCCATCCATATACCCACCTAACCACCCACACACCCATCCATTCACTTGTCCACCCATCCATCCCTCCATCCACCCACCCACCCACCCATCCACTTATCCACTCACCCATCCACACATCTACCCACCCATCTACACATCCACCACCCATCCATTCACTCATCCACTCACCCATCCACACATCCACCACCCATCCATTCACTCATCCAGCCGCCCATCCACCCACCCACCCATCCATTCATCCATACACCCACCCATCCATTCACCCATCCACTCACCCACCCACCCATCTACCCACTTGCTATGCACTTATTGAGCACCACTGGTGTGCCAGACATTGCCCAGTTCCAGTACAAGGCTTACCTTTTCCCTCTCTTCTGCGTCATAATTGTCGGGGAAGATGGCTTTGTTTTCTGAGTCCTTACTGATCTTCCTCTCCTCCAAATAAAACTGCCATTTAGCTTCAAAGTAAAACCAATGCTCCTGGTATTCTAAATGTAAAGAACGGGATGAGCTGAACACAATGGCATCCATGGGAAGGAGGTGGAGGGCACTGGGGCAGATGTAGGGAGGGAGGAGAAGCAATGATGCCCCTCCACCCAGCTGCAGGCACGTGGAGCACGTGGAGAAGCTGAGCACCTGTCCTGGAGTAAACAACTGAGCGACTGTCCAGAATTAGGAACATGATGACATTTGTAGCTGCCTTTTTCTTTCTCTATTTTTTTTTTTTTTTTTGAGATGGAGTCTCGCTCTGTTGCCCAGGCTGGAGTACAATGGTGCAATCTCAGCTCACCCTAACCTCTGCTTCCCATGTTCAAGCAATTCTCCTGCCTCAGCCTCCCAAATAGCTGGGACTACAGGCTCATGCCACCACGCCCAGCTAATTTTTGTATTTTTAGTAGAGATGGGGTTCCACCATATTGGCCAATCTGGTCTCGAACTCCTGACCTCAAGTGATCCACTCTGTGCTGTAGAGCCAGTAGGCATGCAGGCTGCCCAGACCCAGGCCCGCAGCCCTCCTGCCTGCACTGATGCAAGCACTGCTGCTCGCCACACCCCACCTCCTGTTCCTAGGCACCGTGGGAGCCACAGAGGGTGGGAGCCGTGCAGGCCACTGGGTGGCTGTCGGGCCCGAGGGACACGTATGGATTGCATGCGGTGATGAAGCACAGACCTGTCTGCCCGGCAGTGGTGGAGAGTGCAGGGAGCTGGAGGGCTGCAGTAAGGAGGCCACGCTTTTGCCACAGAGCTCCAGGCCATAGGGAGGCCAGGAAGGCCCTAGGCAAGGACCTGGACAAGCCTTGTGGGCACCCAGGACTCGCAGGCCCTCCGAAACTTGGGGCCGACTTCGTTACGTACAAGTAAAAGTGCAGGCCCTTCAGGGTCTTGTTCAATGAAATGAAATTCGAAGTGAAAGATGCCGAAGTAAGAGGGCAGCGGCCACAGGCACATCCCATTAACCTGCAGGGCCTGAAACTCCTGGTGGGGCGTCAACGTGGACCTGGGCGCAAACTCAAAGCACTGCCTCTCACCCGAGTCAGCAGGGTTTGGCCAGTTTAGAAATAGACGTCCGAACAGAAAAGCAGACAGCGAATCTGTGAACTGTCCTCACTGCCTCACTGCAGATGGGCCGTGTCAGGGGGACCGGTCGGAAGCCCAGAGCAGCGTCTCCCGAGGGTGTCTCCCAGGACTTCTGTCCTCTGGATGATTTTAGGTGTTCTGTTAAAAAGGGTTCTGTGTAGGGAATTAATAAAACTCTGGGTTAAACAAATTTGGGATTAAATGATTTATTTGGAGGACTGTTTCTCAGAGCTTTAAACTGGTGTCTGTGCACTTCAAATCCCTAAGAGAAAGAATAAAGTTTTTTGAAGAACAGTCGGAAACATTCCATGAACAAGAATCGGAGGAGGTTTCGCTGGTCAGATGATTCCGACTGTTCTTCAGAAAACGGTTTGAGGAAACCATTTTGAATACCAGAGTTCAGGGAGAGCATTCGTTAATATACTGTGAATTCGGTAATGGTGTGGCCCCATGCCCTACAGCTCACCTGTTTCAAAGATGGGTTAGGGCGACTCTCCTGGGGTTGGGGAGATGACAGCCCATGACTGCAGACAACAACCTCAGAAGAAACCCAGGTGCCACAGCTTAGCCGTCCCCCACCACTCCCACACCCTCAGTAACGAGGATGAAACCACCAGAAATAAAATGTGTCGTGGCCACCAGGCGTGCTCGGCAGTCACGCTTTCTGAGGACGGCCATGCTGGGGGGACATGGAGCAGCCATGGAGGCAGGTGCTGACTTCGTGTGGACACTGACTTTCTTGCTGCCACACACTGGCCTGCTGGTGGAGCGGCCCCTGAGCCATGTCCAGGCAGATATCCATGGCTGCACCCCCCGTGGAAAGCTGGGCACCAGCACCCACAAGGCATTTCAGAACATGCCCCTGCACCTTGCAGGGGAAATAAAGGGAGTTACTGGTTTTTCTGTTTCAAGAAGACGTCAGACCCAGTGTGGTGGCTCATGCCAGTAATCCCAGCACTTTGGGAGGCCAAGGTGGGTGGATCACTTGAACTCAGAAATTCGACAGCAGCCTGGGCAACATGGTGAAACCGTCTCTACTAAAAATACAAAAAATTAGCCAAGCATGGTGGTGCACACCTGTAATCCCAGCTACTTGGGAGGCTGAGGCAGGATAATCGCCTGAACCTGGGAGGCGGAGGTTGCAGTGAGCTGAGATCACATCATTGCACTCCAGCCTGGCGACAGAGCCAGACTCCATCTCAAAAAAAAAAAAAAAAAAAAAAAATCAAGAACACTTCAGCCTCAATCTTTGAAAAATAAGCAAACTTGATCCTATATTCAAATCCTCCCTCTTTCTCCAGGACAACCTGGATACTGTATTTCCGATTTCCTCAACAATGAAAGATCCCAAAGGCTGCATGAAGCTGCCCGTGCCCCTCCTGCCGCCCGCTCCCCTCTTAGAGGGCACCTTCCGTGGGATGGAAGCATCTTCTGGAACGGCCACAGATTTCCTAGTCCCAGCCTCATGGGGCTCCTGGGGAGACCACCCAGCCCTGAGCTCGCCCAAAGTGGCAGAAGCAGAGCTCTACCAGGGCGCACCATGGGTCTCACTCACAGCCCAAAGGCTGCCGGTAGCTTGGTGCCTCAGGCTGGGGTGGATGGGACAGGTGGACCCGCTGGAAGCAAACATCCTCAGGGGCACAAGTCTCTCCGAGGCTCCATGCGGGGAGGCAAAGCCCTCCCAGGTGAGGACAGAGGCAGACTGCTCAGGAGCAGCATGGGGCTTGCCTTGTGAGGCCAGCTCCGCTCACACAGCCCGGACGGTCCTCCCAGTTCCATCTAAGAGCGAACGTGCCTTGAAGTATTGGGGGCCAATGGACGGGCTGAGTCTGTCCAGATCTGCTCTGCATGTGGACTGGCCAGGCCCTGGCCAGGGCTGGGGAGCTGCTCACCTGCCGTGTGCCGAATGGTCTTCCTGCAGTACTCTTCCGCCAGGGGCACTGCCCTCAGCATGTCCCTCCCCCACTGGACCAGCGGCTTTCCTTGTGCGGCGAATGACACAAACAGGGCCGTGCACAGGGAGCCCAGGAAGCCTGGGGAAGAGAGAGAGGCACCATCACCTGGGCCACCTGGGAAGGTCCTGGGGCCACTGGACATGTCGTGTGGGACCCCCGGGGAAGGGTTTGCCCCTTTTCTGTCTTATTCATGTTTGGGTGCACAGTTCAGCTGTAATAACCACGTTTATACCGTGGACATTCTCCATCCTCTCTAGACCTCCCCATCTTCCCAGACCAAAGCTCTGTCCCCACTCCATTCACCCCATGGCCCTTCCCAGCCCTGGGCCGCCCTGTTGACTTTTCTGTCTCTGGATGTGACCGCTCTGGGCTCCTGCTCCTTATGGAACCACAAGAGATTTGTCCCTTTGTGGTGGGCGATTCCACTCAGCATGCATCCTCAGGTTCGCATGTGTGGCCCTGCCACATGATCTGTCCCTTTGTGGCAGGCATATTCCACTCAGCACGCATCCTCAGGTTCGCCTGTGTGGCCCTGCCACATGATCTGTCCCTTTGTGGCAGGCATATTCCACTCAGCATGCATCCTCAGGTTCGCCTGTGTGGCCCTGCTATGTGATCTGTCCCTTTGTGGCAGGCATAGTCCACTCACACACATTCTCAGGTTCATGCACGTGGCCTGCCACAGCTTCCCTTTCTCTCCGTGGCTGAATCATATTCCATGTATAGATGAACATATTTTTGATTGCCCATCATCTGCATGTGAATGCATGGGCTGCCTCCATCTTTGGCTTTTGAGCACACCATGCGTTGTAGACTGTTAGCATCTGTGGCCGGGGATTATCAGTTAATGAGCCTGTGCAGGCAGAATGCTTAGATGGGGGCTCTCCTGACTCAAGAGACCCTGCAGAGCACGACCCAGGGCCGTTGTGCCTGCTGGGGTGGTTCCTGTGCACCCTGCTGGTGCCTAGGGCTTTTTTCGTCTGACTTCTGGGCATGAATTAGCAGCCAGTGAGCTCATCAGCACAGACAAGGTCAGAGTTCATCCCAGAGGCATCTTCTCCCCTATTTTCTTTGGTATATCAAATTTTACAACTGTTTACTGAAAAAAAAAGTGTGTGTGTGTGTGTGTGTGTGTATTTTAATGAAACATGGTTAGGGAAGAAGCCAAGTCGGGGCGGCCTGTCCTGGTCCCTCTTCCAGGGCTGTGGGGAACAATGGGGCTGGGGCTTCTGGGTGTAGATACTGAGCTCGCCCCGCGGTCCACATAGCCAGGCTGGTGCCTTCCTAAGCAGGTAGCACTGAGCGCGCAGCTCTCAGGGAACAGCCACGTCCAGCCCCACCAGGTCCCATCCACCCGCTGCACGGGCCTCACTAGACGCTAGTGTGGAAGCCATTGGACAGGACTTGGAAGAGACTGATCTGAATTACTCACAATGATCCTGGCCGTAACGAGGCTAACAATGCCCGGGGCTGGCAGGACAGTCCTGGAAATCCTGTGGTCACTGTCCAAGTGGAGACAGCCAGTGTGGTACCAGTGACTGCAGCAGTGGTTGTGGTATTAGTGGTAGTATTAGTGACGGTATCATGTGGAGGAACTAGTGATAGCAGTGGTGACAGAACCAGTAGCAGTCGCCATACTGGTGATGGGAGTACTGGTGATAAAAGCGGAGCAGCAGTGGCACTACTGGTGGCATTGGCAGTGGCACTAGTGGCGGCAGTGGCAGTGTTGCTAGTGATAGCAGCTGTAGGGTTGGTGCAGTGCTGCTGATGGGAGCAGCCGTGGCAGGGGCAGTAGGTACAGCACGAGTGGCTGTGCAGGGGAGTGGTGGCCCATGTGTGCCAAGCCCTCGTCCCACTGGGCACTGCTCCAGGGCATCATCGTGCCACTCAGTCTTCACGAGAGCTTGTGGAGGGCATGACGATCACCCCACTTGTGGACAAGGTGCGTGGGGCTGAGAGGTTGTGTTGCTTAATTTTGGAGACATGTTAGTTTCAGAAGGGTTGGTTCTGCTGGGGACCCTGTGGGTGTGTGTGAGGCCCATGCTCACCCAGGAAAGGGGCGAGCCCGCTGTCAGGGCGCCACTGCCCAGAGGCAGGCCCCGGGGCGGGTGCTGTGTACGTTCTGACCTTCCACTTCTCTGTACACAGGGGCTGTGACACTCCCGTGCTGGGCTGTCACGGGGAGTAGATGACTCTAAGCCCAGGCTGGGCCCAGGGTGAACGGCCACTCAACATGGCCACTCCTTGGAGCACAGCCACCCACGACAGACATGCAGAGATGGGCTGCAGAGACGCGTGGCTGTGGGCTGCCTTTGAATGTGCGTGAGGCTGGGACTAAGGGCCGATTACAGGTGAGAAGTTGAGTCATTTTTGCTTCTTTAAAATGGAAGCTGATGAGCCACCTCCTGATAGCCTTTCAGTCACGCCCGAGAGTCAGGTGCTGCTGCAGCCACCCCAGCCTGGCCTCCCAGAGGCTTGCTCTCCACAGGACAGGCTGGGGACGGGGACAAACCCCAGTGAGCAGCTGGCCACCTGGCACAGACCACAAGGAAGTGCCATGTTAAGGGGGCAACTATGTTCCAACCCGTTTCACCCTCACACAGCCCAATACGCAGGTGTAATTCACACGTGGCAGTTGCCCCATTACAGGTGAGGAACCTGTGGCCCAGTGGGTGGAGCTGCTCCAGTGGCTCCCATGGCCTGTGGGTGGTGGGGCCCGCCCAGTGCACAGCAGGAAAATGCAGGAAATACCATAGAAACCCTGGTTCCTGATCCCACCCACACCCAAGCATTGGTGCTTCTTTCTTCCTTTGTTTCAACATGAATGATATCAAAACCACGGAGAGTTCTTTCCCGGGCACAATTTCTTCAATGTCACCACACTTATTACCAGTCCTGCTTTTGGGATGAAAATGGACCTTAGCAAAGCAAGAGGTTAAAAAATAAGCCACCTCCCTCAACAAATAAAAAAATTGATGTGATCCCACGAGATTTCCAGCCCAGTGCCCAAGGCAGGAGACCTTCACCACAGGCACGCGGCAGGTGCAGGGTAAACTTCTGTCTCCTTTAAGCAGACGTGCAGATGGCCGCAGCTCCAGGCCCCCAACCCCACCCACCACTTACCTGTGGGATGGTTGTGGGTCATCCGGCCACACTCGACGCTGACCTCAATGAGGGTCTCCAGCCGCTCGGGCTTCCAGTACCGCAGGCCAACGCACATGGCCTTGGTAGCTGCTCCAAACCCCGAGCCTATGTGGAGAAGGAAGACCTGGTTTACACTTCTGCTCCAGTAATTCCACTTCTGACAATCTAGCTTTCATGAATAATTTTAAAAGTGTGCGTAATAACACGTTCATCAGAGTGTGGTTGAAATGAGGGAGGCCTAGGCAGCCCGCTCAGGTGCCTGCAACGGAAAGGAGATGGGACTAGTTCGGTTGCATCCACGTATCGGGTATTAGTCACTAGTTCAGATGCGTCTGTGTGTCGGCGTTACTCAGTCACTAGTTCAGTTCTCAGTCACTAGTCTGGTTGTGTCTGTGTGTCGGGTGTAACTCAGTCACTAGTTCGGTTGCGTCCGAGTGTCAGGCATTACTCAGGCACTAGTTTGGTTGTGTCCGTGTGTCGGGTGTTAGTCACTAGTTCAGTTGTGTCCATGTGTCGGGTGTAACTCAGTCACTAGTTCAGTTGCATCCGAGTGTCAGGCATTAGTCACTAGTTTGGTTGTGTCCATGTGTCAGGTGTTACTCAGTCACTAGTTTGGTTGTGTCTGTGTATCGGGTGTAACTCAGTCACTAGTTCGGTTGTGTCCGTGTATCAGGTGTAACTCAGTCACTAGTTTGGTTGTGTCTGTGTGTCGGTTGTAACTCAGTCACTAGTTCGGATGCATCTGTGTGTCAGGCATTACTCAGTCACTAGTTCAGTTGTGTCCGTGTGTCGGGTGTAACTCCGTCACTAGTTTGGTTGCGTCCAAGTGTCAGGCATTACTCAGTCACTAGTTTGGTTGTGTCCATGTGTTGGGTGTTACTCAGTCACTAGTTTGGTTGTGTCCCTGTGTCGAGTGTAACTCAATCACTAGTTCAGTTGTGTCCATGTGTCAGGTGTTAGTCACTAAAAGCAGAACACTTGGTGGCCTAGGGATATGCTCATGATATGCAGCATGCTTTCAAGGTTTTCCTTGTAATAACAGTTTCATTGAGTTATAACTACATACAACAAACTACACATAATTAAACATGCACGATCCTGACTTCCATGCAGGTGTACACCCGTGACCCAGCACCCAGGCGCAGAGAACTCCTCTGTGGCCCCAGAAGCTGCTGGTGCCCTTTGCAGTCCGTCTTCCTGCCTCTCCTCAGCCACGGCTGCGGCCGTGTGCATTACTCCTGTGTCCCAGGCACCGTGTGAATGGAATCAGCAGAACGTGCAGTACTTTCCACCTGACTCCTGTCACTTCCACATAACCGCTCTGAGAGGCGCCCAGGTTGCTATGGATCAATAGCAATTCCTTTTTATGGCTAAATAGGTCCCCGTTGCGTTGATCTGCCGTGACCACTCTATCCACTGACCCGTGGGGGATGTTTGGGTGGTGTCCAGTCTGGGGCTCTGAGGTGAGGTGCCAGATCCTGGTGTGGACAGAGGCTGCCTCTTCTCTTGGGCAAATGCCTGGTGGCAGAGCCTCCAGATCATGTGGTGATGAATGAACGTTTTTGTTTGTTTTTGTTGTTTGTTTGAGATGGAGTCTTGCTCTGTGGTCCAGGCTGGAGTGCAGTGGTGTAATCTCATCCCACTGCAGCTCTGCCTGCTGGGCTCAAGCAATTCTCCTGCCTCAGCCTCCTGAGTAGTTGTGATTACAGTTGTGTGCCACCATGTCCGGCTAGTTTTTGTGTTTTTAGCAGAGACGGGGTTTTACCTTGTTGTCCAGGCTGGTCTTGAACTCCTGACCTCAGGTGCTCCACCCACCTTGGCCTCCCAAACTGCTGGGATTACAGGTGTGAGCCACTGCACCTGGCAGAATGTTTAACTTTCAAGGAAACTACCAAATGGGTTTCCAGAGTGGCAGAACCCCTCCGTGTCCCTCCAGCAGATCCACCACATCCATGACAGCACTTGCTACGCTCTTTAAAATTTTAGCCATTCTTTTAGGTATGTGATGATATCTCATTGTGGTTTTATTTGCATCTCAAAAGATGTTGAGCATGATTTTGTGCTTATTGGCCACCAATATATCTTCTTTGGAGATGTTTTGCCCCATGTTTTATTCTTTTCTAAAAATTTTTGATAGGCCTGGTGCAGTGGCTCACACCTGTAATCCCAGCACTTTGGGAGGCTGAGGCAGGTTGATCACGAGGTCAGGAGTTCAAGACCAGCTTGGCCAACATGGTGAACCCCGTCTCTACTAAAAATACTAAAATTAGCCAGGTATGGTGGCAGGCGCCTGTGATCTCAGCGATTCAGGAGTCTGAGGCCGGAGGATCGCTTGTACCAAGGAGGTGAAAGCTGCAATGAGCTGAAATCGTGCCACTGCACTCCAGCCTGGGTGATAGAGCAAGACTCCATCTCCAAAAAAAATTTTTTTTTAAATAATAGAGTTGGTGTCTCTCTATGTTGCTCAGACTGGTCTCGAATTCCTGGTCCAAGCGATCCTCCCGCCTCGGTCTCCCAAAGTGCTGGGATTACAGGTATGAGCCACTGCACCTGGCCCTCTTTCCCCTTTTTGTCCGGGGTTGCTTGCTTTCTTCTTATTAAGTGGTAAGAGTTCTTCATGCGTTCTGGATTCAAGGCCTTATCCGATATCTGCTTTGCAAATATTTTCTCCCAGCTTGCACTTGCCTTTTCATTCATTAAACAGAGTTTCCTGGAGAGCAGAAGAATGAATTTGGGAAGTATTCCTCTTCTTCAATCTTTTGGAAGAGTTGTGTACAATTGATATTATTTCTTCCTCAGGGGTTTGGTGGAATGCCCTGTGAAGCCGTCTGGGACTGAAGCTTCCTTCCTTCTTTCCTCTCTTCTCTTTGACTCTGTTGCCTCGGCTGGAGTGCAATGGCACGATTTCAACTCACTGCAACCTCTGCCTCCTGGGTTCAAGTGATTCTTGTGCCTCAGCCTTTTGAATAGCTGGGACTACAGGTGTGCACCAGCATGCCTGGCTAATTTTATTTTTAGTAGAGACAGGGTTTCACCATGTTTGCCAGGCTGGCCTCCAACTTCTGACCTCAGGTGATCTGCACGCCTTGGCCTCCCAAAGTGCTGGGATTACAGGTGTGAACCACTTTGCCCAGTCTGGGCTTGCAGTTTTCTTTGTAATTTCTTTTTAAAATTTGTTTGTTTGAGACGGAGTCTTGCTCTGTCACCCAGGCTGGAGTGCAATGGTACAATGTTGGCTCACTGCAACCTCTGCCTCCTGGGTTCAAGCAATTCTCCTACCTCAGCCTCCCAAAGTAGCTGAGATTACAGGCGTGCACCAACATGCCCAGCTAATTTTTGTATTTTTGGTGGAAACAGGGTTTCACCATGTTGGTCAGGCTGGTCTCAAACACCTGACCTCAGGTGATCCACCCACCTTGGCCTCCCAAAGTGTTGAGATTACAGGCGTGCGTCACTATACCTGGACTTGTAATTTCTTCCATAATATGTAATGCTATTTAAATGATCTATTTTCTCTTGAGTGACCTTTGGTAGTTTATGTCTTTCAAAAAATTTGTCCTTTTAATCCAAGTTGTTAAATGTATTGGCATAAAATCGTGACTAATATTGCCTTATTTTCCTCTTAATTTCCAGGCTCTGTAGTGATTTTACTCTTACGGTTCATACTGACCATTTGTCTTTCTCTTTTTCCACATCAGCCTAGCTAAAGGATTATCAATGTTTTGATCTGAAAGAACCAGCTTTTGGTTTCATTAATTTGTTCTAGTCTTTTTGTGTTTTCTCTCATTGGTTTTCACTCTGATCTTCACTATCTTCTGTATTTTTCTTTTTTTGAGACAGAGTTTCGCTCTTGTTGCCCAGGCTGGAGTGCAATGGTGCAATCTTGGCTCACTGTAACCTCTGCCTCCCAGGTTCAAGCAATTTGCCTGCCTCAGCCTCCCGAGTAGTTGGGATTACAGGCATGTGCCACCAAGCCTGGCTAATTTTATATTTTTAGTAGAGGTGGGGTTTCTCCATGTTGGTCAGGCTGGTCTCAAACTCCTGACCTCAGGTGATCTGTCCGCCTCCCCCCCCGAAGTGCTGGGATTACAGGTGTGAGCCACTGCGCCTGGCCTCATCTTCACTATTTTCTTTCTTCTGCTTTCTTTCAGTTTAGTTTGCTATGAGTTTTCTGGTTTTTAAATGTGAAAATGGAAGCCAGTGGTTGGAGTCCTTCATGCTAAAGTCAGTGCCTGTAACTGTGGGCTTCTCTGTTTCTCTTCACTGCCTTGTCAGCTTTTCTTCATATATTCTGAAGCTTTGTTATTAGGTACAGAGACACTGAGGCTTGTTATGTCCCCCAATGAACTGATTCATTTGCCATCATGAAATTGCCTTCTTTAGTCTTTGCAATATTCTTTGCTCCAAAATTTACAATATATGCTCCAGCTTTCTTTTGATTAGTGTTAGTGTGGTATATTTTTCCATCTTTAAAAAAATTTTTTTTTGAGATGGAGTCTCACCCTGTGGCCCAGGCTGGAGTCAGTGGCACAATCTGAGCTCACTGCAACCTCCACCTCCTGGGTTCAAGCAATTCTCCTGCCTCAGCCTCCCAAGTAGCTGGGATTACAGGGGCCCACCACCATGCCCAGCTAATTTTGTATTTTTAGTAGAGACAGGGTTTCACTACGTTGGCCAGGCTGGTCTCGAACTCCTGACCTCAGATGATCTGCCCGCTTTGGCCTTCCAAAGTGCTGGGATCAAAGGCATGAGCCACCACACCCAGTCTATTTTTCCATCTTTTTAAAAACTTTAAATCTATTTATGTCTTTATATTTAAAGTGTTACTCAAGTGCAACAGGTGGTTTTGTTGTTGTTTTTCTTTTAGTGTATTCCTTGGCGAGGCACAGTGGCTCATGCCTGTAATCCCAGCACTTTGGGAGGCCGAGGTGGGTGGATCACTTGAGGTCAGGAGTTTTACACGAGCCTGGCCAACATGGTGAAACCCCGTCTCTACTAAAAATACAAAAATTATCCAGGCGTTGGGGTGCATCCCTGTAATCCCGGCTACTGGGGATGCTGAGGCAGGAGAATCAGTTGAACCCAGGAGGTGGAGGTTGCAGTGGGCTGAGATCGTGCCACTGCACTCCAGCGCTGAGCAATGGAGCAAGACTCCATCTCAAAAATTAAAAAGGGTATTTCTTATAAGCAGCACATAGTCGGGAGCTGGGAACTGCTTCTTTATCTAATGTGACAACCTCTGACTGTTATTTGGGGGTCTTCAGACCATTCGTCTTTGATGTCATCATTATTATCTTGATTGTTTTCTACTTGTACTGTCTAGTGTTTGTCCCCACTCCCCCCTTTTCTGCCTTTTTTGGGTTGACTGTTTCTCAAATGATTCAGTTTTCTCTCTTTCATTGGCTTACTAGCTCTGTTTTGTGATTTCCGCAGTGGCTTTTGGGTTCATGCTGTCCATCTGTATCTCACTACAGGCCCTTCCTGTGGCTGACTCCACTACACACAGTGTGGGTGCCTCACAGTCATCAGCTTCCAACTCTCCCCTTCCAGCCTTTGGGCTATTGCTGTTGTACATTTTACTTATATTTTATAAACCATACAGTTCATTATTAGTTTTAATTATCTTTTAAAGACATTTAAATAACGTTTTAAAATTTTACGCATTTCCCCATACAGTCACCATTTCTGTAATGCTCTATTGCACTGCATCACTCTGTGTCCCTATAACGTTCCATCCCCCCACTGCATGGGTCTGTGTCCCTATCACACTCCATCCATCCACTGCGTGGGTCCGTGTCCCTATCACACTCCATCCACCCACTGCATGGGTCTGTGTCCCTGTCACACTCCATCCATCCACTGCGTGGGTCCGTGTCCCTATCACACTCCATCCACCCACTGCATGGGTCTGTGTCCCTATCACACTCCATCCATCCACTGCGTGGGTCCGTGTCCCTATCATGCTCCATCCCCCTACCGCGTGGGTCCTTGTCCCTATCACACTCCGTACCCCACCGCATGGATCTGTGTCCCTATCATGCTCCATCCCCCCCCACGTGGGTCTGTGTCACTATCACGCTCCGTCCCCCTGCGTGAATCTGTGTCCCTATCATGCTCCGTCCCCCAGCACCGGTCTGTGTTCCTATCATGCTCCTTCCTCCGCCGCGTGGGTCTGTGTCCCTATCATGCTATGTCTCCCCCACTTCATGTGGGTCCGTGTCCCTATGACACTCCGTCCCCCTGCACGGGTTCATGTCCCTATCACACTCTGTCTCCCCACACAAGTCTGTGTGTCTATCACACTTTATTTCACTGAGTGGGTCTCTATTTGCATTCACTGCAGGTTTCCTTATGTCTGAATGACTTCCATTAGCATTTCTGTTACAAGACTCTGAGTCTGTGGGTGATGAATTCTTTCAGCTTTTGTTTGTCTGAAAAGACGATTTTGCCTTCATTTCTGAAAGATATTTGTTTCAGGGTGTAGAATTCTAACAGGCCAGGCATGGTGGCTCACACCTGTAATCTCAGCACTTTGGGAGACTAAGGCAGAAGGATTGCTGAAGCCCAGAAGTTCAAGACCAGTCAGGGCAACAAAGTGAGGTCCCCTCTCTACAAAAAAAAAAAAAAAAAAGAAATAAATAATAAGAAAAATAGACAAGGATGGTGGCACACATCTGTTGACCCAGCTATGTGGGAGGCTGAGGCACGTGGACTGCTTGAGCCCAGGAGGCTGATGCTGCAGTGAGGCGTGACAGTGCCACTGCACTCCAGCCCAGGTGACAGAGCAAGGCCCTGCACCACCCCCAAAAAGAATGCTGGTTAAAGTGTTTCTTGTTTCTTTTCAGTACTTTGATGATGTGGCTCCACTGTCTTCTCACTCGCGTTGCTCTGCCAAGACATCTGCTGTCATCATCACTGCTGTTTCTCTGTATGTGAGGTGTGTCCTGCTTTTAAGACTTTTCTTTCATATTACTTTAGAGCAATCTAATTACTGTGTGCCTTGGTGTCATTTTTTTCATGTTTCTTGTGCTTGGAATTGATTTTCTTGTATCTGTGGGTTTACAGTTTTCATCAAATTTGGAAACGTTTTGACGATTATTTCTTCAAGGATTTGTGTTGTTTTGTTTCCTCTGTGTTGAGGATACATGCACGCCAGGCTGCCTTAGGTCACCCACAGGTCGCTAATGCTCCTTTCATACCTTGGATTCTTTTTCTTTGTGTGTCTCACTTTGGATAATTTCTGCTGCTTTGCCTGCAAGTTCATTAACATTTTCTCAGAAATGCCTAATCTGCTATTGATCCAGCCAATGTATTTTAAAACTCAGACATTATAGTTTTTACTTCTAGAAATGTGAATTGGGTCTATTTTAAAATGCCATTCATGTTTCTACTTAACTTTTTGAACACATAGAATATCTAGCATTTTATGTCCTTGTCTCAGATTCTGACGTCTATGTTGGGTCTTTGTCAGTCTGGATTTATTTTCCTTCTCATGAACTGGATGCTCCTGATTCTTTGCATGCTTCATATGCTGTTGCATCCAGGAAATTTTTATACTCCTATAACTATTTTTGACCCTTGTCTTTGGATACAGTTAATTTACTTGAAAATAGTTTGATCCTTCCAGGTTTTGCTTTTAGGATTTAAGTCTTGGCTGGGTGTGGTGGCTCATGCCTCTAATTCCAGCCCTTGGGAGGCTGAGATGGGCAGATTGCTTGAGCTCAGGAGTTCAAGACCAGCCTTGGCAACATGGTGAAACCCCATCTCTACAAAAAATTTCAAAATATTAACTGGGCATGGTGGTGTGCACCTGTGGTCCCAGCCACTCACGAGGCTGCGGTGGGAGGATTGTTTCAGTCTGGGAGGTCAAGGCTGCAGTGAGCCATGACTATGCCACTGCACTCCAGCCTGGGTGACAGAGTGAGATCCTGTCTACAAAAAATAAAAATACATAATTAAAAAAAAAAAAACTTGGCCAGGCGTAGTGGCTCACTCCTGTAATGCCAGCATTTTGGGAGGCCACGGAGGATAGATCATGTGAGATCAGGAGTTTGAGACTAGCTTGACCAACATGGTGAAACCCTGTCCTTACTAAAATATAAAATTAGCTTGCATGGTGGCGGGCATCTGTAATCCTAGCTACTCAGGAGGCTGAGGCAGGAGAATTGCTTGAACCTAGGAGGTGGAGGTTGCGGTGAGCCAAGATTGCACCACCGCACTCCAGCCTGAGCAACTAAGCAAGACTCCATCTCAAAAGAAAAAAATTAAAGTTTGCTTTTCAATAGATATCATTATGAAAACAAAAAGGCAAGGGATAGAGTGAGAGGAAATATTTATAATACATAGAGTTGACAAAGGATTTGTATCCAAGATATATAAACAACACTTAAAATTCAGTAACAAACGCAGCTGGGATGAACCAGACACGCTGGTTTTCATGTTGCTTTCTTCACTCATCTGTGGCAGAGGTTGCCCCATGTCTCAGTACACATAGATCCACTTCACTCTTTTTAGTGGCTGCATAGTATTCCATCATATGGATGTGCTGCAATCAATTTCACCATTCTCCTACAGAGGGACACTAGGCTGTTTCCAGGTTTTGCTAATGCAAATGATGATGCAAAGAGCATCCTTGTACACGTATCTTTGCTCACTTGCTTTTGTATATCGTCATCACGGGTCTTTAGAATTTCTGGAAGTAGAAGTACCAGATCAAAAAGTGTGTTCATTAAATCATTTTGATGGGCAATGCCAGATTTCCCTCTTGAGAGGTCACACTGTCTTTACCCTTGTCCAGCAGGAAGCCATGTACCTTCAGGAAGCCATGTACCTTCAGGAAGCCGTGTACCTTCAGGAAGCTGTGCACCTACAGGAGGCTGTGCACTATCTGCACCACCGAAGAGCCAGCCCCGAGGCTTTTGCGGCTGGTGATCTACTTCTGCTCAGACTGCCCCTTCCACATGCCCAGAGCATGTTCCTCTTGGGAATAGGGCTGCCAGAGCAGCTCACCAGGTCTTACCCTCTCGTCACGGCTTTCTGGGGATACCTGTGTCTCTGCTGCTCTGTTGGAGAACACGTGCCATTTCACAGAAACCCCTCTAGCCTCTGGGCTTTTCCTTTTCTGTCTACCGAGTCTACGTTCTCCAGCCTGAAAGAGCTTTTTGGGGAGAGATTATACAGGAAGTGGGGCTGATCACCGCAGTACCAACACAGCAAGTCGGCCACCACCCATGCTTTGTGGATAAGCATGGCGGACTCGGGCCAGGACGAGAGGAGCAGAGGCTCTTCAGAGGCAGACACTGGGGCCACCTAAATACAGCTTCACCAGAAACACATCAAAGTGTTTTAGAGACATTCATGCAGACCACACAAGCTCTCATTGATGTTATAACAGAAAAGACCAACATGAAGGGAAAACAGTGGGAAATATCTCTCAAAATAAACCAGCAGTGGTTGACAAAAACCCCGTGGGGAGGCCGGGCATGGTGGCTCACGCTTGTAATCCCAGTACTTTGGAAGGCTGAGGCGGGCAGATCACAAAGTCAAGAGATCGAGACTATCCTGGCTAACATGGTGAAACCCTGTCTCTACTGAAAAAAGAGACAAAAATTAGCTGGGCGTGGCGGCACGCGCCTGTAGTCCCAGCTACTAGGGAGGCTGAGGCAGAAGAATCACTTGAACCCAGGAGGCAGAGGTTGCAGTGAGCCAAGATCGTGCCACTGCACTCCAGCCTGGGCGACAAGAGCGAAACTGTTTCAAAAAATAATAATAAATAAAGCCCCATGGGGAAACCCAGTGCCACGTGGACGGGTGTTCCTAAGGAGATGCCCCCACTGGCCAGGCTGACCGGGAGGGGCCCCCTCCCATCAAAGGGACTCTAGGCAGATCTGGCCTCACTGAAGCCACCTGGAGATGCCGGGGTTAGTAGGGAGCACAGGGGCCCCAGCAGTGTGGGACTGGGGGAGAGGAGAGGATTTCCCTGACCCTTTTCGTTGAACGGTGTGTGCCAGGCGAGGAGGTAGTTATTGGGCTTCAGCTGAGCGCAGCCTTCAATGGTAGCTGGGTCTGGCCGGCGTTCTGGAAGCTTCTCGACAATTTCCACATAGCACCTCACCATCTCCCGGTACAGATCATCCAGGCACCAGTAGTCTGGGGAAGAAAGGGTAGGCAGACATCAGAGCGAGCTGTGGCGTGAGCTCTGGCCTCCCTCCCATGGGGTTGGGCAGGCTCTCCAGGGCTCAATACCCAAGGCCACAGCCCCACTGAGCTTGTGGCAAGGGAAGAGGCAGACCAGTGTCTTCAGGGAGGTGGAGAAAGGTTTGGGGATCTGTCCTACACAGCCTTGGCTGTGAGGGAAGTTTAACATGCAAACAATTCACTGGAGATTTCATTCCGATTTCGGGCATTCTAGTTTGTCGTTGAACTTCTTATTCTAGTTACACGTGAGAATCTAGACAAGACCCACTGTGCTCACTTTCTAATGGTTCCATCCATGTGGCAACAAACAGAACCAAAACCGGCCTATGCCACGAGCTTGTAATGCAGACGGTGGAGGCTGGCGCGCCCAGCTCTGGCTCCTTCTTCTCTTGCGGGAAACCTGGGTGCCACAGGGACAGCTGCCACCAAGCGGCATCCCCAGCCCCATGAGCGGTGTTCTGGAAACAAAGGTGGGCTGGAGGCCCTGAAAGACCCTGGGGCACGAGGGTGAAGGAGCTGGACACACCAGATACCTACCGTGTGCCCAGCGTCGCACCTGGGAGCCCAGACATCCTTCCTCAGCAAGGGCTGGTTCTTATTTGCCATTTTCCCTGATAAGGCTCAGTGAGCTTATGTGTCTTGCCCAAGGCCAGAGCTGGCAAATGTGTTTTCTTGCAAGGCCCGAGCACTTCTGTGATTAACTAACCCGCAGTGTGTGGATGCAGTCCACACAGCCTGTAAAATCAGAGCCCGGGTGCCCGGCCACGCCAGGACAGGCTGTGGCAGGCCAGTGAGGGCGCCCCTCCCGACGGCCACTTTAACACCCAGCAGCTTGTTATCATTCTACACTAAAGCTGTGCTCTGCTCCGGGCTTGTGGGTCGGCCTGGGAGACCCCACTGCTCACTTTTTCTTGGTGATGGATCCCCCACCTTTGGGGAGGGTAGGGGTGGGCATGAGCGGGGAGAGGGAGGGGGAGACAGAGGCCTGGCCCACTCTCCATGGGGCAGAAATGGCACTTGGAAGCAAAAGACGTTCCTGCTGGTAGCTGGAGCCTTCCTCAGCCGCATCAGAGCCAGATGTTCTAACGCGGATGGGTTCGAGAGATTAGGAAGGGCACTTGGCAAAGTCACTTCCTCCTCCAGGACTTGAAACCTCAGCCCTACAGCTGCAAACCCCTGGAGAGAGCGCTCAGGGCTCTGTGGCTGCAAACCCTCCAGGAAGAGAGCCCAGGAGCAGGGACCTGTGGCTGCAAACCCCCAGAGAGAGCGCACAGGAAAAACCCCTGGGGAGAGCACTCAGGACAAACCCCCTGACAGAGCAGGCAGGATAAACCCTGGAGAGAGTGCTCAATGCGCACAGGACAAACACCCCCGGAGAGAGCGCACAGGACAAAACGCCGGAGACAGCGCTCAGGGCCCTGCAGCTGCAAACACCGGAGAAGGCTGAGGACAAGGACTGCATGTCGTGTCCTCCTACCATCCAGTTCCCCCACCCAGCCCAGCAGAGGCCTCTGGAGAGCGAGGGGCAGTCCTGGGAGGCGTGGCCGGCTGGCCTGTGCAGTGTTGTCTATATACATGATGTTGTGCTATGTACACAGTGCTGTCTACACACATGGTGTTGTCCAGTGTGCACGGTGTTGCCCTACAGGCACAATGCTGTCATGGGGCACAGCGCTGTCTACACGCATGCTGCTGTCCACACTCACGGTGTCATCTACACGCGTGCTGCTGCCCGCACTTCTGGTGTTGTCTACACACATGCTGCTGTCTGCACTCACGTCCACACTCACAGTGTCATCTACACGTGTGCTGCTGTCTGCACTCCCCGTGTCTACATGCATGCTACTGTCCACACTCACAGTGTCGTCTACGCACATGCTGCTGTCCGCACTCATGGTGTTATCTACACTCATGCTGCTGTCTGCACTCCCAGTGTTGTCTACATGCATGGTGTTATCTTATGTGCACAGTATTATCCACATGCACTGTGTTGTGTACACGCTTGGAGTCTACATGCACAGTATTGCCTACAAGCATGGTGATGTATGTGCATGGTGTTGTGTGTGCATGGTGATGTGTGGGCGTGGTGTGTGTGTGGTGTGTGTGCATGGTGATGTGTGTGCGTGGTGTGTGCGTGTGGTGTTGCGTGTGTTGTGTGTGTGATGTGTGTTGTGTGTGTATGATGTATGTGCAAGGTGTTGTGTGTGCAAAGTGTATGTGCATGGTGTGTTCATGTGCGTGTGTTGTGTGTGCATGTTGTGTGCATGGGATGTGTGTGCGTGGTGTGTGTACGTGGTGTGTGTGCGTGGTGTGTGTGCAATGTGTGTGCATGTTGTGTGCATGTTGTGTACATGGTGATGTGTGTGTGTGATGTGTGTGCGGTTTGTGTGCATGGTGTTGTGCGTTCAAGGTGTATCTGCATGGTGTGTGTGCATGGGATGTGTGTGCATGGCGTGTGTGCATGGTGTTGTGTGTTCATGGTGTTGTGTGTGCATGGGATGTGTGTGCATGGTGTGTGTGCATGGTGTTGCACGTACATGGCAATCATGTGTGGTCTACACATATGTTGTCTACACGCATTTTGTGTACATGCACAGTATTGTTTTACCTGCACGCCCATGTTCATTGCCCCAATTCGAGTCAGGAGGAGAGAGAATGTGGTAAGACCATGGCTTGGGAGACACAAGTCTGGCCGTCTTATGGGAGAGATGTGAAGCTATATCCCTGCAAGAATTAGTCACCTTTTCCTGCACACAAAGCCCCTGGGTGGGGGTAGAGCTGCATGGCTTTGTTCAGGCTAGGCATGGTCGGTCCACAAATAGCCTTTCTCAGCTCTGTCCTGGGTTAGCAAGCCTAGCCCTTCCTGTGTCCCCTAAAAGGATTCATTTTATTCTGGAATTAGATAAGAAATGTCTGTATTTAACTGAAATTTGCCTTTTTAAACCAAAAAGAAGTCCATAAAATAAAATGGCAACAAAAAGCATTGTCTTTTCAGGTTAGAGTTTAAGCTACAAACAGATTTTCAAAGCTGCTAGTCTTGGGCTTCTCTCTGGGTCTCTTTCCTTTGGGACATTCAACTCCTGTCTCCCGTCTTCCCTGTCTGGTCTCCTGAAAGACAAATCAGTTTATAAAGCTGTCTGAGGCTGGGCACGGTGCCTCACGCCTGCAATCCCAGCACTTTGGGAGGCTGAGGTGGGTGGATGATCTGAGGTCAGGAGTTCAACACCAGCCTGGCCAACATGGGGAAACCCCATCTCCACTAAAAATACAAAAATTAGCTGGGCGTAGTGGCATGCGCCTGTAATCCCAGCTACTCAAGAGGCTAAGGCAGAATTGCTTGAACCCAGGAGGTGGAGGTTGCAGTGAGCCGAGATGGTGCCACTGCAATCCAGCCTGGGCAACAAAAATGAAACTCCATCTCAAAAAAAAAGAAAAAGAAAAGCCGCCTGAGTCTCCCAACTAATGTCTCAATAAAGAAAAGGCAAAATACCAACGTCCAGTGAGCTTGTAGCAAAATGTCAAGTGTTTCCAAAAGTTTTCCACCATAAGCCAAAGTGCCACTCTTCGTTCTCAGGGCCCGCGGGCGAGATAGGCGCTGGCTCTGTGCCCCGGAGGCCATGGCCAGGCGACACTTCCTGCTGTGCGTGCTGGGCCCTAAAGCTGGGGCTGCTGAGTGAGCCTCAGGGCAGAGACGCATCAGATGTGCTTCAGCCACACTGGCCTGCACCACCTTCCAATGTGAACCTAGGCGCTTCCTCATACTTTGCTGGCTGCTCCATTTAATTCTTTGTAAGCCTGTGTGGAGGAAGGCCCTGGGAGGGAAGTGACAGCTCCAGTTTTCCCAGGGAGCAGGGGTGGGGAGCTGGGAATGGCCAGATGCATTTCTGGGCAATGGTCGAGCAGGCCTGGCACACACACACCTGCGAGATGCTTCCCCTCCGCAGGCCTGGCGCACACACACACCTGCTAGCTGCCTGCCGAGTGAGTCGGTGATAATGCGCTGGCAACACAGACTTGCCACTCATGGCAACGGATGCTGCACGGAAGCAGGAAGCCACAGGGGCTGCATCTGCCCCTCTGACCTATGCTAACTCTAGCAGCAAAGCCAGGGCTTGCCAGGCCACACAGCCCCATGGCTCGCGAGGTGAAGGACTTACAGCGCAGTTTACTTAAAGATGCCAAATGTAGTTCCATTTGTCAAAGTTGGCCTGTCTTTGGAAAACATGTTGAAGAGCTAATGCACACTCCAACTGTTATGATACCTGCAGGCCACCATGATCTCAGTAGTCAGGGAGGGTGCTTACGAGCATGGGGGCCAGACAGTATGGTTCCCGTCCAAGCCTGCCACTCACTGGGCTGCGTGGCACTGGGCAAGTGCCTGAACCTCTCTGAACATCAGTTCTTTCCTCTGTGAGACTGATAAAATCAGCCTTGCGGTGACGTGAGGAGCGCGTGTGGTAGCGTGCATGAGCAGCTGGAACAGTGGCTAGTACAGAAGTGCTGTGGACTCAGCGCTCACCATTGCTGTTTTGCTTTGTAGAGAGGGAGTCTTGCTGTGTTTCCCACACTGGTCCCGAACTCTTGGCCTCCCACAGTGCTGGGACTGCAGACACGAGCCACTGTGCCCAGCCCTCACCATTGTTAACACAGCCCAAAGCCCCCCTCCATAGGCTACAATTTGTTATTTAAAGAAAAAAGCTGAACTTAAGAGACATTTCAACTGATTTTTAGTGAGTTGAAAAAAACATGCTTGCTTTGGTTTCTAGAGGGGTAAGTGATTCCAGGGGTGATCCTGGAGGCTTTTCATGACCCATAAACTAGATGCTGCAGCAGCACAGTGCACCCTCCTCCTTGTCCACAGCTGAGGACTGTGAAAGCTTGGAGCAAACTTACTTTCCTCCTTAAAAACAGCGCCAGAACATCTATAACCCTTTTCACTGTGTGAATTTCGTGTCCTGTTGGGCCGACCTCCATTGGCGTGTTTGTGGAGCGTCCTGTGCCGCTGCCCTCCCTGTGGACCCAGCAGGACCAGGCCCACAGCCACAGACGCTGCCATTCACAAAATGCCCACCAAGTGCCAGCAGAGACGGGACACGTGGAGCTGGTATGAGTGCACACACGGCATCAGACGCCCAGAGGAAGCCAAGCTCAAGAGTGAGCACCCACTGTCTAAGGTGAAAACAGGCCGCAGCCTTGTTCCGAGCGCTTGCTCTCCCATGGGCGTCTGTGTGGGGTGCGTCTGCTCTGGGCTACGGGGACACAGCATGGGGCCGCTGGTCCTAAGGGCACACGAGAGGCCGGCTGGAAAAGCAGAAGCAGGAGCTCTTCGACACCTCCTGGTCTCCAGCAAGCCGGGGAGCCTTATCTTATCACCAGCACTTCAGCTCTGCCGTTATTTAGGGACCAGCCACAGGCTTGATGACATTCCTCCGCCGTGAGCACAGAACTAAACTGGGCGCGTCCACAGCAGACGAACGGAATGGTGGGGTGGACGCATAAGTGAAATTTCATTGACCTAGCCGTAGCCCTCAGATTTGAATTCTGTCATGATAAACAGCACCCACGGGGCTTTGAACAGCTCGTAGGAAAGTTGGGCTGTGTGTCTGCGTACCTGCCGTTTCCCTGAAACTCATGCAAAAGCTTGATCCTAAGATCAATCTGCTACTTAAAGATATTTTAAGCTTTGTCTCCAATCTCATCCAATCAAGTTTACGTCATTTTCTTAGGACACATTTGTGTATGGGCAACTCTTCAAGCTGAACCATTCTGGGAGATGATATTCTAACCTTAATTCACTGGAATTTAGAACTAATCCCCAAACAGTATTAATGGGTCCACATTTCAAACTGGCTTATTTTATATCCCTTGTAATGAATTCGGAACAAAAAGCCTTGATCTCTGCAGAAGTGAGGCCTCAGCTCACTCCCACCACCGTGGCTGAGAGAGGCTTAATTGGCTTTAACGCTATTAGCAACAATAGGCTTAGTCAATGCTTTACAAATACAAGTGAAAAGTCGCATTTAAAAATTGAATCTTAGTAACCTGCAAAGTAAAGTAATGCTGTCACCCCAAGAAACCACAGGAGAAACATGATCTGCCACATATCAAATCTGAGGGACACTGGTGTCTATTAAATTGCCACTTTTAGCAGCGGCATCGGGTAACACTATCGGCTGAAGGACCACGCTGCCTTCAAAACTCCCGGGGGGTTGCTGGGAACGTGAGCAGCCACAGCGTTCCCTCCGCCCTCCGCCCGCCAGCAGTGTGCCGCGGGGCCCAGTCCTACCTGTGGTGAGGGCCTGGGCGGTCGCCATGTGCATGATGGTGTTGTCACTCACAGGCCATTCTCCCGGCGAGAGTACAAGGTGGTCCAGGCCCCCGGAACGGTGTAGCTCCTCCTGAATCTTCATGCCTGCAGCGCTGTTCTCCTGGCAGACATTTCTGTAGCCAAGCGCATCACCGACGCTCCCCAGCAACATCGCAGCCTTGAATTTCTCCATCTCAGGAGCCAGCTCCTCTTACCCTACAGCTGCGGAGTCTCCTGGCCTTCTGCTGCCTTCCGTGGCCCGCCTGACTTTTATAGTGGTCATTGTGTCGCTGTCGGAGCGTCCTCTGACGGCCAGGCGTTGTCTGTCTCTGCAGGTGGCACCAATGAGAGGACCCTTCTGTCCCCCACGTGGGAGGTGTCAGCTTCCTTCTGCGTTTGGACAAGCACCAGCTCCTCAGCAAAGGAGGCTGCTGGCTTCTGCCAGTACTCGGAGCACCTTCAGAGCGTTGACAGAGCAGGGCTCCTCTCGTTGTCCCTGGAAGGGGAGTGGCACTTCCCCGTTTGTGGTGAGGGCGTGCCGTCACCCCTTAGGCAACAACCCATCTGCTGTCTCTGTAGTTTTCCTTCCCTGGACGTTTCAAATATGATGTGTGGCCTTCAGTGTTTGGCGTCCTTTACTCAACATAATGTTGAGATTAATCTGTGACATGCAGTTTTATCTTTTAGAAAACTTCGATTATGTGTTTTTGATAGAAAACTTTTTAAAAAATGCAGTGTAAAGGGAACAAAGCTTATCTAGCTCCTGTGTGAAAAACGATGGTGTTTCCTCAGCACGCAGTGTTTGGTGGCTCTCAAACAACTGAACCGCATTGTGAGGAGGAAAGTCATCAGCAGAGAGCAGGCTTCGCTGGAACCTCCAATCCAGCCCTTGGTCAGCTCAACTATTTACAACGTCCCTGCCAGCTCATGAAAAGAATATTCAGAAATATGGAGAGGCAGGGGTAAGGCAGAATGCATACAGTCAGGGCTCCTGGTTTGAAATAAATTAGGAGAACAGTCCATTTCCTGACCCCCACCCCTGGACAGGTCTCTGTAGAGGCCAGGTGCCCGGCGGGGCTGTCTCTCCCATCTCCCTCCTTGGGGCCTGGTTTCCATCAGACCCAGGGGAAGCAAAGGGAGTTACGCCTGGACTGAAAAATGCATCTGATAAAAATAAAACTCTTGTAGTACACAGCAAGATAGGAGTAGGAAGCATTTCAGTAACTGGCGTTATACCAGCACTTGTTAAAACGGAGATTCCGAAGCAGCGAGCTAAACTCACTCTCGACTGTCTGCTGGCGGAGCCAGCCATCAGCAAAATCATGCCAGCTAGCACGATCCTGAGAAACAAACGGTCCTTCAAAACCAGCATGCAGGCTGGGTGCAGTGGCTCACGCCTGTACTCCCAGCACTATGGGAGGCCAAGGCAGCTGGATCACCTGAGGTCAGGAGTTCGAGACCAGGCTGCCAATATGATAAAACCGTCTCTACTAAAAATATAAAAATTAGCTGGGGTTGGTGGTATGCACCTGTAATCCCAGCTATCCGGGAGACTGAGACAGGAGAACTGCTTGAAATCAGGAGGCGCAGGTTGCAGTGAGCTGAGATTGCCCCACTGTTCTTGCCTGCTGGCTGCTCTCCAGCCTGGCGACAGAGCAAGACTCCATCTCAAAAAAACTCCAAAAAACCAAAAACCAAAATAACCAGCATGCACGCAGGTTCCCTATCCAAGCAAGACAGACATGAGGGGTGGCCCTGCATTCAGACACCCACCATTTTAGGCAGAACTGCACTGCGGGGCGGAGGTGTGTTGTTTTGGGAAATAACAGAGCCCTGCTCGGCACTTCAGTCGATTCTCAGGTGGCAGAAACCTTTGCTGAGAGCACTATCTGGCTCCTTCAGCAAACAAGATGGGTAAGTTTCGCAAATTAGTTTGTTCAGTAAATATCTGCAGAGCCCTACTTTGTACTAGGAACTGTGGACGTAGCAACAAATGTCAGAAGAAAGTTTACCCTTGGCCCCACGAAGCCTGAGGTCTAAAATGGATATCAACTTTTATTAAGCTGAAGTAATACAATGACATGTACGACGTCACGAAGAGAAGGAGCTGACGGTCTACTAGGGCACACCTGGCAGGTGTGCGGCGAAGGTGAGCTCTCTCATGTTCCTCGGACCCCCGTGCTTGGCCCCGCATTTGCCTCTGATAAGGGACGGTTTGCAGCAGTGCGTGCCAGCACGTCCCCCCACACCCCCGTAAATCCTGCCTGTCGAGGGATCTCTTAATTCCTCACCAGAGCCACGTCAGGCACACAGTGCACCACTGAGAGGGAACGCCGTAACAGTTGGCTGAGGACCCGGTTACCCAGCCAGGGCTGGCGGGCCACATGCAGGGGCAAGGGTTTGCCTGCTGGTTGCTAGCCAGGGCTGTTCCTGCCTGCTGGTTGCTAGGCTGGGCTGTTCTGTGCCTGCTGGTTGCTAGGCTGGGCTGTTCTTGCCTGCTGGTTCCTAGCCGGGGCTGTTCTTACCTGCTGGTTGCTAGGCTAGGCTGTTCTTGCCTGCTGGTTGCTAGGCCGGACTGTTCTGTGCCTGCTGGTTGCTAGGCTAGGCTGTTCTTGCCTGCTGGTTGCTAGGCCGGACTGTTCTGTGCCTGCCGGTTGCTAGCCGGGGCTGTTCTGTGCCTGCC